GTAGGATGCAAAACAAGAATGTCACCGATGTGTTGACTTTTTTTGTAAAAGAAGAAGCCGTTTAGACATTTCTGGTGCAGCCATAAATAGCTTAAATAAATAATGATTCGATGTGCACGAGTGCTTAATAGTCAACGCGTTCAGTTTTGAATGCGTGAGTGATTAATTCAAACTTCATGTAAATTACAAACGGTCAACACTGCAAACGCAATTGTTTACTAGAGAGACTTCGTGAGCAATTGGGCAGGTGATGAACATGATCAAATCTATTTTTCAGATTCCACATACTTCTATAGACAAAAGTGAAGGCTTCGCTTTGAGCTCTTATTCCTTGTTGCATTCCCTTCTAAGAAATGAGTGTTGCCGGATAACTTGGTAAATCAGCCCCTCTCTCTGTGAGTGTGGGCACAGACACAAGCTACAATCACTCACACCCACATCCTCAAGTCATTCAAATAGTCATTTGAATAGAGAAAATTGTTTCCAACAAAAATATAAAGATAATAAAAAGCATTCAAAATTCTCAGATGTGGATTATTCAGAAAAAAAAGCAAGTTTTTCAGCATCTAGAGACTAATCATACAATTTATTTTCAAGAACATTCTATTATAGAGCAAAGAATTCTTTATGAAATGAGATATCTCTAGATTTACTACGACTCTTTACATAATTTTCTAATAAAAAAAACTTCAAGTCTATTGACGAAAAAATTAGGTTGATTTTCGGAATAACGCATCGCAAAGAACAGTAAAATTTTCAGTATGATTTCATAGACAGAAAATAATTGATATTCATTGATATGGTCAGCATCATATTCTACATAATACGAAATAGTAGGACCAAAAAAAAGAATTGGAGATTGAAACATTTCAATAAACCAACGCTGAAAGTTTATAGATGTTATTGAATAATCGTTATTGACTAATCCGAACCATTTATAAAAAAGTGCAAATAGTACATAAATAAATATCACCATCATTTGTTTTATTAATAAAATAAGTCTGAATAAATATTGTTCTTCTGGTTGATATAACCATATTCCGATATACTTCGTGACGACCCAAAAAAATCTGCGAAAGTAAGAAGAACAACAAAAAAAAGCAAAATGAACATGAATAAGAAAACAATCAGTCAACAGTACAACGATCGCTTCTTAAGAATACATAACATTTGCATATTGTCTGTTGAGAACAATGGAACATTTAATAATAAGAATGTTTCATTTGACAGCAACATTGATAAAATATATCGATGGAAAGAAACGAAAACAATTAATTATATTTATTGAACACAACGATATATAAATCCTTTTTTTTGTTTTATTCAACGATTAATGTCATTTAAAGAGAAAAAAAAGACAATTCTATATGTATATGATAAACATATGTTTCGTCGCCCATGCTCGATATTATTTCGTCTCTATCTCTAATAATTGAGCGTAAACAAATAATGGACAAATAATTAATTGACATGCTCATTAAATTTAACTCATAATGATAGAGTAAAATTTTTTAGAAGAACAATGACATGTTTTTTTTAATATTAGATCTATTTTTGCTCTGTCTGTGATATTAAAATATTTTTCTTTTGAATCAAATTAATCAAAAGTCAATTGTTAATATGAACATGTATACTATTAATAAAAATACCAAATTAATATGAATCGTCTATTATTTGAAGTAGTTCATGTATCAATTGAAATAGTTTCAGTTGATCAACTTTGAAAATTTGTTCCGTTTCTTTGAGTTTATAGATACCAATTAGTTACTATGTTGTATCATCAAAAATGTTTATTTAACAATAATGAAGTGATCAATACAAATTTCTTGTTTTTTTTTTATAGATTTCGAAAATAAAATTTCATTCATCATGTATTCTTAGTATGGCTATATTATAATTAATGTTCCAAGATTTACGAATACTAGTAATAATAGATGCTGTAAAAATTGGTTTTGCATAATAAAAAGTTTTGATAACAGCAATGTCATCTGTTACTATATTAAAGATTTTTGTATAATTCATAAATTACTTTTGAACACGTTTTATTGATTAACAATATGACACTGTCAAATCAGATAGCCCATAGAAATCGAGTTATCGATTCGAATATAATTATTTTTCAAATATTACACATCTATAATGTTGAGATACATGCTATTCTTTAATATATTTCATTCTTTAATATATTTTCTTATAAATTACAACGACATTATTTAATAATAACGATGGAATAACAAGCATTGTTCTAAGTAATTGTCTTGATGTTATTGCGTTGAATATAAATGAAAGATGATGCAAATTTTCAAACTAAACACGAAAATATTGTACAAACATGTTTTTAACACTTTGTTTTTGTACTTTCATAATATAAATCATTCGTAAGATTTTTTAAATATTTACGAATATGATTAAAATTACTATGTATTAACATATATAAATAATAATTAGTAACAATTGAAAGAGATTTATTTTATAAGGAAATTCTTTATTTTTCTGTATGAAAATCTTACAATAATAAGAATTTATTTTCCATTGTGTTTTACAAAATCATTTCGAACGATGTTAGAATCTATTCAACAATATTAATTAATATTACACTTCTAAGAAAAATATTTCGAATAATTTGATGGATAACAACTTAACGTGTTTACTGTAAAAATACCTTGTGTCTTGTTTTTACACATATGAGTTCAATGAGCAGTAACGCGTAGACATCAGCGTGCCCAATTTTTTTTCGTCGCGGTCACAGAAATTCTATGGACTGTAGTAATTAAAACAGTTTTTTAGAAGGTTTTGCAAATTTCACAAACGACTTGTAGAGTTTTAAAAGCCTAGTTCCAATCCTATTCTCCTCGCAACGATATTGTCTGCTTATTTCTATTCCACTTTCTGCCAGAGAAAAGCAAATGATATTTCAAAATCTACTTTCCGTCCAGAGTTATCACGAAACTGAATCTTGATTACATTCGGAACACCATTCCTCCAAGAGAGTCTTCTACTGTGATGAAGAGTTTATTTATAAACGTGTAAGTCTTCTCTATTACGAAAAACTAAATCTACTTAATTTGGTTTAATTACAGTTGTCTTTTTGTTAAGTAATTTTCCAAACATCTTGCATAGTTTCTTTCTTTATAGTCCAATGAAGTTTTACCAAAATTTTTTTCAATCAAATCATATACATACAGATTTTGGCATGACAACAGTTGGTATATATTTATTAAAATTATTTAAACATCAAATAATAAGTTGGCTTGGTATAACATCACATTTTATAATTGATAATATTGATGAAATAAATTCTGTTGAACAATAAAAATGATCGAATGCTCTTTGTCGTACTTTACAACAATTTACGGCTGATTGTTTTCCATTAAAAAGTACTGAATTTTCAATAGATACACAAGAATATCATGCAGCTATAAGAAAAATTCTTTCAACACTTAAATTAGCGTGTGAATGTGGATGTGGGCATTAGTGTGGGTGTAGTTGAAGGTACGAATAAAAAATCCACACCTACGCTCACATTTCAGTCACCCACACCTATATGCATACGCTTCTCGATGAACGTTACTTGTGAGTTGAGATTATTGTGAAAATTGATGAAAATACACAAAGGAAAAATTGTTGATCCAAAGATGCTTATAAAAAATATCTTTCGTCTTAATGAGTCCTATACCAATCGATGGCTTAGATATTGCTCTTTCGAATGGTGAAAATCGCAACTGTCTATCTTGTTCCTATCCAACGTTATTCAAAAAATGGCCACTTGCCTTTTATTTTTTTTTCGAACAATAGGATGCTATTTTGATAATAAGAGGAGAAATGTTGAGTCAAAAACCAGGACTTTTCGGAAATCGGTTATTTAAACCATTTTGAATAATGGTATTCGATGCAATAACTGACGATAGATTCCACATGAAGAAATATTCATTGAGATTTTGAGCTTAATTTCACTGTAGCTCTATGTAGTGTCTGCAAAATCGAGCAAGCCAATTTTTAAATAGATGTTTTGCATAAAGGACAAAAAAGTTTTTCAAAATGAACCATTATTATTGTCTATGATTTGATGCAGATCTATGTGCTGATTCTGAATATTATCTTAGTTTTGCACCAAAATGATGTCTGATTTTCAAAATCAGCTATTTGAAGCCAAAAATCTGAGTTTTGGTAGACTCATATCACCGACTGTGCTTCTCAGTGCAAAATAGCACTATGGCCAACAAAGAACTAAACGAGGAAGAATAATTATTGAAATTTTGAACTCAATAGGATTAAAACTCGTTTGGGGTTCACAAAATAGGCTATGACGAAGCTTGAACCTACTTTCAGCTCAGTGATCGCTTTTTTCTACTCCATTTCTGATTGGATCGAAATAGGTTTTCAAATGATGAAGCTTCTGGATAAAAGACTAAGTATAAATCAACTGAAGGAGTATTTGCATATCGATTATACTTCGATTTTTGCAATAATGACTACGATATAATGATCTTTTCAAAAATCTTTAGATTTTCTAGCAAAGAAGTTACTAAGAAACATACAATACATTGGTGTACATATTGTTAAATAATTCATGTTGATAAAAGAAAACAAAAAGAGCTTTTTTTTTTTTTTGAAGAAAAAATACGTTTTAATACTGATAAAACGTATATTATGGCATACACTCTTAAACAAACCGTTGAAATTTTTAAAGAAAATTGTACACTTTCCAACTCGTTTGAATAAATACATTTAAAATCAAGTGAAAACATGCGAATTGATGAAAAAAAACAATGCATTCGAATGCAGACTTTTACGTTTTTTTCGTAGGTAGGTTTATAACTTTGTCAAGATCAATAGATTTAACGATCATGATAAGAACTACAATATATTGTACTTAATGATATTCTGTCATTAATTCAAGTGTCAAAGCAATATATTTTCAACACATAAGATAAAATGAATAGAAGAAAAACGGGCGAGCAAGCTTCGTCATTTATCAAAAAGTCTATTTTTGTGTTGCAATGAGATTTGAATTAAAGAAGGTTGAGATTTTTTATATTTGCTCTTGCATTTTCGTTTTTACCACTGTTCATTTTAGGTTTTTTTGTTTGCTGGATTCTTCTTGTTGGGTGCTATCATTGTACTAATACCTTGTGTTGTTGTTATTGCTCGACGTTCCTCGAATGAATGCCCAGCTCCAACCACGCCTTCAGTGACAACGTCTGCGATGACAACATCTTCAATGACGACACTTCCATTGATAACATCTTCAGTGACGACGCCTTCAATGACAACACCTTCAGTGACGACATCGTTAGTAACGACAACAACATCTTCAAATCCAACATGGAATGCTAGTGATTATCAATCAAACAGTGATTACTATAATTCATCGGTAAATCCACGTAACTTTGATCAATCGGATAATCTTCGTTTGGATCGTCTTTCATCACCTCAATTTCGTCCAATTAATGGAAAAAGTATAATCTATTTAAGACGACAATATCACATGCCTGATTTACGTGGATCAACAACAACTTTGCATTGGCTTGACATAGAAACGAATAAGACTATTCAATTGACACGACCAATTTGGGGCAAACATGATCAACAAGTAATAATGGAAGGATTGATTATATTTATTTAAAATCTTTTCTTTTTCTTTTCAGTTCTTTTGGATAGATAATAATACAATTCTATTTTTATCTAATCGAGCATCAACAGGTCTTAATCAAATTTTTCAACTTACACTACCTGAAAATGTATCACAAACGATTGATTTCATTGATCCAATTCAAATAACAAATTATCCATTGGATATTGATAATCTTTTAGTCAATCGACAAGCAACACGTCTAGCATTTAGTTGTCAAGTCTATGCAAATTTAACTATTCAACAAACTGTTGATCGACAATTGACTGAGCAAGCTAGTGGTCGTTCGATTTATCAATTCGATAAATTATTCGTTCGACATTGGGATGAATACATGACAGGTCGACGTCATCATCCATTTCTTGTTCAAATCACACGACAAACTAATGGAATATTCAACTTTTCGTCAGAACCAATTGATATACTTTTTCCTCTAGATAGTGATTCACCAACACGACCTTTCGGTGATGCTAAAGCTCAATGGTCATTTAGTGCATCTGGCAATTCATTTGCATATACTCGACAATATGATGAAACGAGTGAAGTAGCTTGGACAACCAATTTAGATATATGGACAATTGATTTGACTACACCTGGACAATCGAGTGTTTGCATTACAAAAGAAAACTTGGCAACTGATACCGATCCATCTTATTCACCAACAGATAATAATATATTGGTCTATCGATCACATTCAATTCCACGTTACGAATCTGATCAATTCAAAGTTAAAGTATACAATGGTTAGTCATATGATTTTTATTTAGTACAATTTGCATTCCTTTCTTTCATATTTTAGGATCGAATACAAAAATAACTCTTCTCGATAATTGGGATCGAAGTATTCAAGCTCTGACATGGTCTCGTGACGGTCAATCTCTTTATCTTGAAACTGGTGAAGAAGCAGAAAATGTTATTTACTATATATCCAATATATTTACAAATCAAACGATTGTTCCTTTAACTAGAAATGGTACTTCGCACAATATCAATCTTCATCCTATCGATGATCAAATATTTGTCTTCACATATGAAAGTATTCTCGAGCCGGCAAATATATATTTATATTCATCAAGTGATTCGATTCGACCCCTCACTATTCATAACAAAGTTCTATTGAGTAAAGTAAAAATGAGTACTGTAGCCGAGAAATTTTCGTTTGCTGGTGCTAAGAATGATACAGTTTGGGGATGGCATATACCCCCACAGAATGGCACAAACAATTCAGCTCCACTTGCTTTTCTCATTCATGGTGGTCCACAAAGTAGTTGGTACAATGCATGGAGTTATCGATGGAATTTTCAATCGTTTTCTTCTCAAGGCTACGCTGTTATTGCTATCAATTTCCATGGTTCTGACTCATATGGACAAAATTTTACAGACAGTATTAATAGTAATTACGGTTCTTTACCTTATGAAGATCTTCAATTAGGACTTGATTATGCTCTGACCAATTATCCTTATATTGATTCACAGCGAGCTACAGCACTGGGTGCTAGCTATGGTGGATATATGGTCAATTGGATTGCTGGACATCCAGAGATGAGTCTTCGTTTTAAAACGTTCGTCACTCATAATGGTGCACTTGATACGAGATCTAAGAGTTATTCCTCAGACGAACTATGGTTCACTGAGTACGATGCAGGAAACTTCACTCCATGGGATAATCCCGATGCGTTTGAAATCTATAACCCAGTCAATCATGTTGCAAATTGGACACAGCCAATGTTGATTATTGTTGGTGCTCGGGACTATCGTATACCAGAAACACAAGGAATCGGCACCTTCACAGCTTTGCAGCGCCGTGGTATTCCAAGTCGATTGCTATATTTTCCCACCGAAAACCATTGGATATTAAACCCGCTCCATTCTGTTGCCTGGTATGAAGAAGTACTCGGTTGGATGCGCAAATACACCAGCTAATAATATCCTGTATTGTTTCGATCAATAATGTAGTAGACTGCTTATTAGGAACTTCTTTTTTTTTGACACTATATTTTGCGATCAATCGAACAAGAAATGTGAATGATGATGAGGACATGATTTTTCAATATCGAATAAACGCATTGCTTTTTTTTCCCCGAAAATATGTTTTTCTCATTGATCATACTAAGTGCATCGAATAACATTTTAGATTAAGAAAGTTCCAAATTATTTTATACTTTTATCCAATGAATCTAAGCTAGATGTCACATTTAAATGAAAATCTTTTCTTTATTGTTAAAATTTAACTGAAAGATCAATCTGATTATTGACACGATCTTGAGGGTGTAGATGTAGGTGGAATAATGGCGTTGCATGGGATGTGAGCACGAGTATTGAGTTACTGAAGATTTACATCCAGGGTGTGGGTGTTAGCCTTCCCTTAACATACACTCACACCCACACTCCTATCTACACTCACCCACCATAAATTGAAAAAAGTCAGCCAAAGGATAGTAAAGCCGTCGGCACATTAGAAGACCCCCAGATCTTCTATTTTGTCTTATCGTTTATAAATTGCAAGAAGACTTTCTATTGTGTCCCTTAAAAAGTCATATTTTTTGCTACCTTCAACGATATAATTTTTGTAAAAGTCTTTTTATGCTGGCTATGTTGTTACTAAATGTTTATTTCAGTTTTCTGCACTAGTACAGTTAATGAAAATAGTCTAAATTCTTTTACTAAAGAACGTTTCGCAAAACGAGTATCTTAACCATAAAAGGTACGAAACCATACAAAATACAATTAATCTATACTTTATACATTAAGTTTTGAGTTTTTTGACATGTTCTTCAAGATCAGCCGTTTGTATTGAATTTCAGTTATTGAACGTGTAATTAGTTCATCTCTTTCTGAGTCAAGTTTTTGATCAGTGTGATCATGATCGATTTTTAATGACAGCAGATAAGAATTTGAGCTTAGATCATACTCCATAAGAGATGTTCTATATTTATTCAGTGATGAATATAATCAGATAGTTGGCTCTTAGTGAGAAAAGAGAAGAATGTAGATCAAAAATAATTAAACCTGATAATAACAGACATTGTTTTTCACATGTTATATGCATACGTCTATTAATTACATTTTATATTATTCAAGTACAGACTATCTTGAATGTCAGGAAAGAGCAGAAAAATATTTTTGAGACGAAGATTAGAAATACACATATAGAAATAAAAAGTATAAACATGATAGTAAAACTAAGAAATGAACTATTAGAAGGGAGATTTCTAAACTATCTTTTGCGTCGTTTATCCAAGGAGGGTCTTCTGATGTATCGACGGTTTTATAGATGTTGTTTAATCTTAATTACTGTGAGTTATTAGGTGGAACGTTTTAAAACCAATCTTTGTTGGTTCTTTATGTTAGCACATATGAAACATTATGAACTAAAATAGAAATTGTTACTATTAGAAAATTCAAAGGTTATATGAGTTTTATATTGTATGTCTTGGTAGAACTGAAGTAATGAACTGTTGCTCGAAAGAACTAATTGCTTAATCGATATTTTAAGTGCACCGAGTATGATTCAAGCATTAATAATCACAAACTGTTTAGGTATACGAAGATTTTTCAGTTTACATCAACACTGTCAGAAAATAGGATTTTGAAGGCATCATCTTTTTATATCTCATTATATGATTATAAACTCCATAAGTGTTGTTTTTCAGTGAACGATCTCATTTTCGTATTGCACTTTATTCAGTAAAAGTTTGAAACAAAAACGAAGCTTTGTCATTGACAATGGATTCATCAGTAGCACCATAGAGAGCAGATATGTTTCTGAAGAATGACTATCAACACTTCACATTGACAGCAGAAAAAATATAATTTCTTTTTGAGAGGTCAGATCATTTTTGCATCATGAAAGACTCAAAAGAATTGTTGAAAAACTATTTTAAGGAATAAAGATGATGACAATCACATTTTTATTCAAAATCAATAAGTAAAATAAGATGCCACTCGACACACCATTGACTCGGTCTATCTTTTTTGGAATTCTATTGGTTTTGATGATTCCTTCAATCATTTTTTCTCTTTTCATCTTGTATCATTTTGCTCGATCTCGAGAGCTTCTTAAAAGACTTAACAATCATGTTATTCTTGCTTTGCTATCCATCAATTTGATCCAGGTGACTCATGAATAGTTGATGTTAAAGAAAATATTGTTTCTTTTTTTTTTTGAAGATGACCACAGAAATGCCGTTAACGTTGATTATGTTGTATACAGAATATGTGGCTGTACAATCACGCCTGTTTTGTCTCTTTTGGCCTGCGTACAACTATACACTGTTTGTCATCGGTCTCATGTTTATGGCTTTTGGATGTATCGAGCGATACTTTCTTGTCTTCTATCGAATCTTTTTAAAAAAACATCGGATTTTACTTCACTATGGGCCATTGATCTTCTTGTTGATCTATCCACCTCTGTTGTACTTCGGACTGATCGTCATTTATCCGTATGAAATCAACTTCAGTTACACGCAATATGTCTGTGGTGGTGCGTGTTATCAATATGAGGTACGTTTCATCGAACACATCATACATGCTCGGCAGTCATTTCCATATTTTCGAAGGACAGATTTCTAGTTCTGTGCATGCGCCAGTATGTACTTGCCTTCACATTGCTCAAAAAACATGCAAAGAGTATTAGAATGATAAACTGCTGGAATGAAAAACAGAAAGAAAATGTGGCAAAAAACGACAAAATCATATTTCACTGATAAAGGTCCTCTGCCAATAAAAAAAAATGTTGATGTCAAAAATCAAATTTGTTTCGATTCTGTTTTCTCTTTCGTTTTATGAGCATTAACAGCATCATCAAAAAGAGCAAACTTTTCGCTTATGTGCCAGTGTCATAAATGTCAAAGAAAAAAATTGATTTGACGACTTTGATGCCGATAAAATCTTAGTACAGTACTCTCGAGTTGCAGGGTATGTTGAAAGCTTTTTGTTTCTACTACCTAGCGAAATTCACTAGAGAACCATAAATAATTAATAATTATCAAAAGAATTCAAGTATGTATAAAACTCGTCATTTTGCGCAGTCATAAGCAAATATTTGTTTCGGCAACTGTGGCGTTCAACTAGAGAGTAGAACTTTTTCATACTGCTAGATACAATTTATATAAGAAACGGTACATAAATTCTCATTAACTTAAATTTCAAAATTCGTCTTCGTTTTCTTCTCACAACACTGATATTAGTGTCTATTCACTTCTTAGCTATTTCAATATTCTTGAATAATTGCTTTTGGAATCCTGTTGATATTGCACTTCTCAACAGTCAGTTTCCTAACAATCTATGAACATAATGAAAGATGAAATACTTGCGCAGAGAGTACGATCAAACATTTTCTCCCAGAAAAAAAATATTCATTTTACCCATAGTAATAAACCTTTTACAAGTTTCGAAATAAATGTATGTAAAGATAACAGTTCTGTACGTGTCTCGATAAAATCCCACCAACACATTCTGTTTCGTGTTCTGTCGTATTAGACATATATTTCAGCAGAATCAATTTTTTTTTCTCTGGAGAAACTCGTTAAATAGAATGGAGGAGAACGAGACCAAGATAACCTTATTTTTCTTTTATTTCTTGTTTGAAATCGATTTCTTCTTTGGTGCCTTGGTATCGCCGTAGTCATTTTTGTTGTCTCGATGCATATATACTTAACAGGAATTTAAATCAGTGAGTAAATAGAAGACGCCAAAACTGAATCCTACTTCGAACTCTGATACTTTTTTCAAAGAATAATATTATACAACTCTCATTTATTCAAACCTTGAGAAGTTGTTCGATATAGTCAGGGCCAAATAAGTATAAAACGTCAATCACACTGATTGAGTGAATGGCATATCCTTTATTAGACTGTCTGGATTGACGCCTGTAAACCCATGCAATCTGTCAGGATGATAAAAATTAGTTAAGCTCTGTACGTTAATGATTAGATCGAGTCAGTTATTCATTTGAATTCAGTGTAGGCTTACCATTGTTTGATGAGCAGAATGGTAACAAAATGGAGTTACTGGAAGTTCGCCAATAAGACTTTCGCCAATATGACATTCACCAATGGCGAAAGACCAGGGGTATATTAGCGAAAGTCCACTATACTTTCTCCAACTGTTCTGAAACAATATTATTACAGGGTGCATGTAAGAGCTGAAGCTAGAGCTCGTTCGGTTCAAGAACTTCTCGACCCGGATTCAACCGATTTTGACTTTTTGGACCTGAATCCAGTGATTACAAAGTATTCAGATCCTGCCTCGGCTAGGTTCGGGCCCCAGTAGGATCCGACAGGCTCTAGCTGAAGCTAATGTTATTAGAATATATACAATAGCTTAGACTAATGAATGTAGCTGATAGGAATTTTCGAATCCACATTTAGTTCACAGTCACATGGGGAAAAGCCTACTGTACTTGCGCCAATTGGTGAAATTGCAAAGGATATACTGGCGAAAGTACCGTGCATTTTCGCCATTGGCGAGAGCCCTATTGGCGAAAATCTTATTGGCGAAATTCAGGATTCCCTTCGAGGGCATCCCTAGTACGGGATTTGAGGACCCAAGCGTACCTGCCTATAGTAGGACTTCACAATCTAAGGGTACGCCCTAATATGGGACTTGAGGACTCACGGATACCCTCTTAGTATAGAACTTCAGGTTCCAAGAGTACCTCTTATAATAGAACTTGAGGACCCAAGGGTACCCCTTAGTATAGGACTTCAGGACTCTAGGATATCCTGTAGTGTAGGACTTGAGGACCTAACGATACCTACTTAGTATAGGACTTGAGCACCCAAGGTACTCACCTATAGTATCTCAAGTAGAGATTTATTAAAGCATGCAGCTTTCCTTCAATTGGAGCCTTTTGAAATCTTTGTGAATCTTTGTGAATCTTTAGAAGTCTTTAGGAATAGTTAGGAATCTTTTGGAATCTTGAAAACTTGAAATCTGCTTTTTCTCCCTTGTTAGGACCTCTGCGGGAGATGCGACATTTTCTAGAGAGACGCCGCATCTTCTGCACTTCTCCACAGGAAGGTGTGGCATCTCCCGTATCGACATCTTCCACCATCTTCTGCATGACTTAAAGCTTAACAATAGAAAAAACAGATTTCATCGGAAGATGCCGCATCTCCCTGCACTTCTCTGCCTTCTCCAATTTTCTGGATATGTGATACTGCTGAGACTCCGAGAGTCTTATTCCAGACTGCTTGTGCTTTTCAGCTGCACACTTTGGAACAGGTACCCAGGACGATGAGTCCGGCCTCCGGATCCGACAGGAACCAGAGCTATTCCCCGCTAGTTCAGGCAGGTTCCAGCTTCTTTTCCCCCGAAACAGCCAGGAAAACATACTGGAAATGGAAGCAGTATTCCGGACCGGAAAGCACCGTACCGGATCCTTTCACTTCTGTGCAAATCCAGTGTCCGGATTTATCTTGGAAAATTACCATATCCGCGTGGAATTCTTACGGAAAGTTACCGTATCCTGCTTCCCAGGTCGAAGAATACGGCAAGGAACCAACCGTTTCCCGCGGAAAATTGACGGATCCGGTCGCCGAAATCATCGTTCTGGAGTATTTTTCTGCAGGATACGTTAAATTTTCCTGCCGGTTCCCACAGGATCTGTTTTTCAGAATTATTGACCTGGGATCATATCCAGCCAGAATCACAGTGGAAACGACCGGATCTACTCCGATGTTATCTACTAACAACATAGAAAATATCGGAAATCAACGCAACACGGTCAAAGTATTCCTAAACAGGATACCGCCGGCTATTTCCAGCAAACTCCCGACACTTCCGTCGCTTTCCCGCCGGAAACACTTGAAAACGGCAAGCAGAATCCGTCAAAGTCCTCGGCAATACTGTCCCTAAGATCCGATCGTTTCCTACCATTACCCGCAGGAAACGGTGCACTGGTCCGTTTTCCCGCCAATTCCATAAAAATTCTCTACTTTCGGTCAAAAAAGTGGACTCCAAACTGCCTAAACTCCAAATTGCGAGCTCACTTACGCATCCATATTTTACTCAATGACCCAGGTCTAGCATTACGACGACCAGACACGACCGTTTACGATGCCCTATCGTATACTGTTATGGACCAATCACAATTCAGTAGGACTTTTTTTGCTTATTATAAGGGCAACACCTAGTCATGTTCGAGCCGATTCTAGGGTTATCGAGGTCTCTCTATCGAATGAGGGGTATATGTGTGGGGCCTCTCCTTATCTATAGCTGAGAACTAGAATCGCACTTACAAAATCCAATGGAAATCAAGTAAGTTGGAATCGTTTCCGTGCAGGAACCGACTATCCGGATTAGAAATGGAAACGATCGAATTTCTCCCTGGATCTTCCTTCTATTTCCGGCCGGATATGGCAGGAAAGTAAGCAGAAAAATCCGGCAAATTCCGTCGCGGAATACTGCTTCCATGAAATCCCCGGAATCGACCGTTTCCTTGCCGGATTCTTCGGCATGGGACGTGGAGAGAAAAAGGAGAGATATAGATGAAATGCGATATAGGCACAACTATCATGAGTACAAAAAGGCGTCTTCTAAAAAATTTTGGTTATTTCTAAAAGAAATTTTCATCAGAAATTTGACATTATTGTAATATAGAAACCTCGTCATCAAAATCCGAGTACGACATTACGGGCCTAAAACATTCTCTTTTACATGACGATGTTCAAGGAAAGGATGCAAAAATACTCTTCTTTCTTCGTAATATACTTGATTTTGTAGGTTTTTCAGAGTGCTTGGCATAAAATCGAACGATATGTTAGTCGAACGTTTGATTATTTGCATGTGCATATGCATAGTCTCATAAAGAGAACGAACGTGTAGATTAGAATGACCGTCGACGCTTCACAGAGTTTACGAAGAAACGATAGTTCATTCTAACGTTTTCTCGTTGGAAACATTATAATTGATTTATTTTCCTCTTCTTCTTGCAGATTTCAAATAAATCGATCGTTTCGGACAATGGAAACAAACTCTGTTCTGAGCAAAAAGCCAGAGTACGGTCTCATCATTTTGGGCAATGCTGGAACGGGTAAAAGTTACATTTGCAATATGATAATTGGCTATGAAAGATTCGAAACCGACTTTCGGAGAGAAGCAGTTACAACTGCTGTAGAGTACCATCGAATTGATGCTGGACCAAGCGACCTTCTCATATACAATATTCCAGGATTGATCGAATCGCACCAAGAAGAAATCGATCGAAACAAAAGAGAAATCATCAAAGCTTTCGAACAGTCTCCCATATCGGTTGTCATATTTGTATGGACACAGGTGGATGGACGACCGCATCCGGATGATATCATTACCTTCAAGGCTCTCAATGAAGCCTATAAGTTTTCATCCAAATCTTTAATGTTTGTCCTGAACAATATACCGAGCCAGCGACAACCGACATACGAAGGAAGATTTTTTACTTTACTTACGAAAATGCTCAATCCAATTCCATTTTCATTGGAAGACATGTTTTTTGTCGATACTTTGAATTCTGAAGATAATGAGAAGTTTAGTGCAACACGTGATCGACTACTTTATTTTATCTCACAGCACCGTGAAAGCGAGCAAAAAATGAAAGCTAATATTATCGTGCAATCCAACGAACTTCGCATGCTAAGAGAAGCTCTAAAAAGACAATATCTGGAGGTTGAAAAGAACAAACAAGCACTTGAACTTCAAATCAAGCAAATGACAGAGGAATACGAAGCTGTCAGGAAAGGCCAAGAGAAGAGATACCAAGATATGATGTTCAAATTAGAAGTAGCAAAACAACAAGCAGCAGAAGAAGAAAAAGGTCATGAACTTACTGGTGTCGAGCTGGAAACTCTACATAAAGAAAAGAAAACAGGTCTAAAGGAACAATGCCAGCAACTTTGGGAAAAAGTTGAAGATGAGAAAGGAATTTTTAAGAAAGTAGATAAAGGCTATAAAATCGTAACGAACGAGTTGCGTGTTAAATACAAACGCAACGCAGATGATAAAGAGAAGAATTCCAAGACACAGAGCAGCACAATTGAGGACAAGAATGAAAGGAACGAAAAGTTCCATGGAGATCAGCTGAATAAGGTTCAGAAGAAGCCCACTAAGCTGTGCAATAACAATTCTGATTCTAGTCTTCTCCGTCCTGCTGTTATCGGTGGTACTCTCGGTGCCACTTCCGTTGGTGTTCTGGGTGCTGGTCTCGGTGGTGTTACTGGTGCTGGTCTCGGTGCTGCTGCTGGTGCTGTTGTTGGTGGTGCTGCTGGTATTGTTTTAGGTCCTTGTGCTATCGCTACTGCTGCTGCTGGTGCTGCTGTTGGTACCGCTGTTGGTGCTGTTGCTGGTACTGCTATGGGTGCGGCTGCTGGTGGTACCTTTGGTGGTATTAGTGGGGCTATTGTTACTCTTTATAGGCGTCGTAGGAAGTGAAATCCTACTTAGGGTTATCCAAAAGTAGTGGCAGAGGTTCTTTTTTCTTCTTATTGCAAGCTTGAAAAAATTTTCTTTTTTATGAATAGATAGACCATCTTTCGTTTTATCTTTCTATGCTATTTGATCACTATTAAGCTACTATCATAATAATAGAGTTTCGATAACAACTATTTTTGTTGAAAATCAATTGGAAACCTTTAAATCATAATGACTGTGGTATAAACCATGGAACACTTGGATTTCATTTTATTATCACTTAATATGCTGTATTAAAAAGAACAAAATATACGAAAAGATGCATTGTGAAAATTTCTGCAATGTAAGAAGTACCGCTTATTTTATAGTTGTACTTTTTGTTTCAAAAATGGACACAACTTTAAGTTATCAAGTTTCGACGTGATGAAAACGGGGCTTTTTTTGGTAAAAAAGCGAATTCAATTTTTTTGCTATCTTATCTTTGTATAGTAGTTCTTTGTAAACTGTAGAGGTCTTTATGCTGCATCTTGCAGTCTATTTTACTTTTTCAAATTAAACATATCAAGTAATAAATAGATGAGACAGAAAAAACGGAGTTCATCGTTTACCAAAACAAAAATCTTATTTTCGAAACGTCGAAATTTGGCAGCTCAGAGTTTTGTCCATTTTTGAAACAAAAAGTATAACTATGAAATAAGCGGTACTTTTTATATTGGAGAGCTTATCACGTTGCATCTTCTAGCATACTTTGTTTTTCAATAAAACATATTATTTAATGATAAAATGGAAGGAAAAAATACTATATCTATTATGATCTAAACGCTACCAGCTGGTTTTCAGCAAAACGAGTTCTTATCGAAATTTTACTATTATTCCCTTGACTGTAGGGAGGGTCATATGAAAAAAATGGGTTGTATGTATGTTTATTTGCGTCAGGGTCAAAAAAACATCCGCTTAAAGTTGTTTTCTATGAATGTTGTCAAAAGTAAATCGAGGTTGGGGAATCCGAATCTGAAGTCAGATTCTTAAAATTTTGAGTTGAGTTTTTTTGGGTCAAGGAGAAAAACTTTTTGAGAAAATAATAATATTTCCTCTAATGTAGGAAGAGTTAAATGAAATAAAATAAATTTTTGTCTGTTTTAGTCTGAGTGAAAGATGAAACGTCATTAAAAAAATCTTGGCTATGTGTTCGATGCTTGTGCTTTTAATACTGGACTTTTCACCAATTCGATTTGTCAAACTGAAAATTCAGTTAATCCGACATATGTGATAAGTTCTTCCTCAATCAACTGTTTTCATAGCTAGATTTCCATGGATGAGACTTGTTTTTAGCTGAGTTTCTAACTGATGATACTTTGTGTAGGACTACTCTAGTCAGTGAGACATTCTGGATCTGGAATTGGAGAAAATATGAGTTCGTTGTTCCTTGTTGAAGAGGCATAGTTTTTTTTTGACAATACTGTCAGGCATTAAGATATATCCTGATTGAAATCTTCGTCTAATAGCGGAGAAAGAAGGACATGATGGTGAGATATTCAACTTTTTTATTTTATTTTTTTGTTAGAATCGTGATAAATGTGGTTATAGCTGTTTTAGAAAAGCTTGTTTATTTTATAGTCAAAGTCACAATAATTCCATGATAACTTTGTGTGAGAAAGTGAGCAAACTCACACATACCAACTAAAACGATTCTTCAAAATGATCAATTTCTAAGGAGAAGTTCACTGAAAGCCCTTTCTAGCTAGTGAGGAGTCTCAAACAGAGGAAGGGAACTTCACATCCTTGAAAATATACGGTCTTTTAATTCTAACTTTCATCTATCATTTCGAACTAGGAACTAGTTTCATAAATATGCTTTCTTGGCGATCGACTCCTTTAATTGAATATGAATTGTGAGTTGGGTGTGAGTGTCAGTATTAGTGTAAAGAAGACTTTCAGGCCCGCACCCAACTAAACTAAATAGCAGCTAATCATTCAATCGAAGGTCAAGCGAGTCATGCTGACGAACGTTACTTGTTTCTTTAACTGTTGATAATAACCTTTTCCTAAAATGTGAAAATCCATTTTAAAAGATTGTGGTTAGAATAAAATTTTTACAATTATTTCTTTTAGTGTTTACTTTTATCAGTGAATTTTGTTGTGAAAGTCATACGATGAATCATTGATTAGTAGGCAAACTATTTTATTTGATAAAACGAAGAATGATAGCATTATGTCCTGGATTCTTTTTCTTTTCTATTTGTGTTTGTTAGTCAGTTAATGATTTCAAATATTTCGTTGGTCGTGATAAGCACTATATATCGAAGAATACTACAGATATAAATATTTATATTTCTTTGTTTATTTTGTTTTTTCAGAAATGCCCGAAAAAGTCCATGTACCGATATAACATGTGATAATGAAATCAAAGAATTATATGAATGTCATTGTTGTTTACATCTTGTTTGTTTTTATCATTTGAGTAAACATATTGAAATAGTAAAAGAAAATAAACAACGATTGAATAATCTTCGTAATGAATTAAATACAGTTGTATATACACTGGAACTAATTATTGAAGAAAAACTATTGATTATTGAACGTGAACAAAATTTGATTGAACAAGCAAAAAAGATTTTTGACGAACCCAGCAGTTCAATGGATGAACTAAAAAATATTATCGAAAAAATTAATCAAACAATAGCATCAAATCATTCAAGTAAAAACTAAATTAGATAATCGGATTTTTTTGTATATTTTTCTTTTTTTTTTGTTATAGAAGAAATCACAGCGAAAGTCGAATCGTCATTATTAGAAACTAAATATTGTTCTTGTGTTTGCAAATGTAATAAGGAAAACATGAATTTAAACAGTAACATGAAATTTCTTTCTAAAATATTTTTTTTTGTTTTCATTATCTGCATATTTGTTTGTTTCGGTCGAATCCTTAATAAAAAGTAGTTGTAGTTAATGAACTAAGTCATGACTTTTCTACCGAATTTTCAATCTGCCAGTGTCCATAGACATAAGTTTGATGACTCTCAGAATATTCGGAAAGTTTCAGCTGTAAAAAAAAACGTCCATTTATCGAGATATTGTATTTCCAAGTAAATTATAGCCAGTGGCTATTTATTACAAATTTAATGCCTCAATGAATGAGCATCTCTTTTTTCGCTGCAGATGTCAAGTCCATTGTTAAATAGATCGATAGACAGATTCGGTTAATTTATTTTTGAATAAATCGGCTCATGAGCACGACCTCTTTCACGTCTTCTTTTTACTCTTAGCGAATCATATATTTCACTCGTAGGATAATAAAAGCCTCCAAAATATAAGTTTTTTGGGTGTGGGTGTGGGTGTGTGGGGTGTGAGTGGATGTAGGTGTGGGTGTGGAAAACAACATCACACCCTACACCCACACCCTCAAGTATGTTGTATCATCATATGACGTATCAATACGAGAAATTAGACTACGCTGGAATTGGCATCCACCTTCGTTGATTGTTGCAAATGATGATATGACAATACCTAGTATAGATGACAAAGGCATAGTTTATATGTGTAGCATGTCTCTCGTATTTGCTATCGACAATGTGGGAAAAACAGTATGGACAAGTGAATTGGCAACACCAAGTGAAATTAAAACATTTCACTTAGCTTCTTTTTGCATTGCAATGAATTTAAAACGACGTACTCTTTTACGTAGTATCTGGTTCTTCAATTTATCAAAAATCCAAATTTCTCTATATCATCACTGCTGTCAATATGGATATTGGCAAGGTAATTAAACGTATTGATATTAACGTAGGAAGTAAAAAATACATTACATCACAATGCCCGATCTTAATTGGTGACGAAATATTTTACTTTGCGTGGTTGATAGGACAGTATCCAGAATCAGTGCCCTTTAAAATAACTGGCATGAAGCAAGTCTGAGCATCAAACAACGAAATCGGACAAAAACATATGTCGATGAATGTGTATAATACTTATCAACTAGACTCACATCGCAAGCTAATTGGCCCTAGTAACTGAAAATATTTGAAAATATATTCAAGTAAAGCAAATATTAAGAGAATCAAAAAGAAAATATTCTCATTTCGATCAGTACCGGACATATTTGAATCAAATATAGTTTTTAAGTAAATAGTCTCTTATAAGTAGTACTAATGAAACTCTTTTAGTTGGATATGAGCCAAATCAAGGCTATTATATTCAGAGTTGAAATTGAACAGCTCTTTCATAATCGATCCAGTCTCGTCGGTAATTTTTAAATCTGATGTTTTTGATTTATTTTTTTGAGAAATTTTATTCGTAAAAAAGTATTTTCTGAATAGAACTAGTATGCATATGCTGTTCAATATATTTTTCTTTGCTAATTTAATCATATTAACTTCGGCAAAATAGTGAGCGACGTATCACTTATGCTATTGTATTAATCGTCTTACTGTATGTTAATATCTTCCTTAGCAGTCAGAGTTGTCTGTAGCAGTTCTGTCAGCTAAAACTGTGTCTCCGCAATATGCACAGTAAATAGTTGTACGAGTATAAAAGTACTTTTCAAAATCAAGTTGCAATTGCATTGGTCAAGTAAGGATCCAGTGCACAAGTGACATTAGCACATTCATTCAGCTTTTACATTATATTTCAAAAAAAAGAATAAAAAACAACATGTTTATTTTGTTGTCATCACACGTATCAAACGATCTGACGAAAGAATTGGCTTCTAGTGTATGAGCAGTCAGCAAGCCGTTTGCTTGTGCAAAAACTTTTCCTGATCATTGATTAATACTTTGAAATAGGAGTGAGCGAGTGAATGTTTCACAGTAACATAAACACGCATACTATGAAAAGTACAGCTACCAACCTTCGACAAAGATTGCGAATCAGTTTCTACTTCATTTTCATATTCATCTTCCGAATTAAGTGTTTCAAGGTCATACTCATTCACGATATTAGTGGTATCATTATCCGATTCCGAATATGAATCGAGAAAATCCGTTCATTAGCTTGAATAATCGGTTGTTCTTGATTTCTCTAATTGGCTCTTGACGAAAAAACTGACGTCATCGATTGTCATGACTTTTCCAATATTTTCTAAAATATCCATGCCGCGAGACATTACAAGTTCACAAGCATTGGCAAAGGCAAGATGTACCATTTGTTCGATATCATCGTTCAAGAAAGATTTAATAGTAGGAAGAGTAGAAACCGAGTTTGTGGTTACTTGAGTTTGTTTATAGTGGTACAGAAAGAGAAGAGCATAGATTGATTCCAATTCAGCCTCATTTTTGATGTTTTGAAGCACGCACAATTTTTCCGCACCACGCAAGAACTGGATGTGCGAAAAAAGTTATAATGAAAGAGAAAGGTCCTGACGTGGACAGAGTCGAACAGAAAGTTGATTTGCATGTTCGCGTATTGAATAGGCAAATGTAAAGAGCTTCCTTAAGTAGTTGATTGTTGATAACAAGAAGTGTAAGATAGATTAGCTTATGTGTTTAATTCAATAGACTAACTAAATGAGACAATAATTAATGGTTTAATCTTATGAGGATTTATACTTGGAGAAAAATTGGTTCAGAAATGGGCTGTCCATTCTTTTCGACTTATATCACGCCACAAATGTCGCTATTTTCACTCCTTCGTTCATCATGTAAATCGGCAGTGTCGCATGAATCGCTATACACAATAACTCATCTATCTTGCACGAATTTATCAGTCTAGGAAAATTGATATCAGTCTTTTTTCTAATCAGTTTTGAAGCTCATTGTCTGTCTACAGTGTTAGCTTGACTTTACAAAAAGCGATACATAAAACACTTACAAAAAATGTTGGATTTGTGATAAAAAATTATCGTTTGGACTTTTGGCGGGCGTTTTATCACTTAAGAAGCGAAACGTTTTCCCTGATTCAAATACCGATCATTAGTGGACATTTTGTTGATTGACATAGACCACAATCGGTAGATAAAAGTTGATAACCAAGCATTGTAAAACAGAGCCATATAGCCGCTATCCTTTTCGCTGAATTCCAGTCGAATATATTTCATAATGGGAAAGGGAGCTTTCGTCTCAACTTTTTATTACGAACTCCAGGTGAAACAGTCCTTTACGATCTTCGGACATAAGAAAAAAGACAGGGTGTTCGGAATGATGTTCGTAATGAAAAAGTCGATAAAATATAACAAAAAACAGGATGTTCGGAACAACATGTCGTCAGGAGTTCGTAATGGCGTTTTTTTGTGAAAAAACAGCGAAATTTTACCGGGAGATCGGAATGAAAATGTGCAGGAGTTCGTAATGACAAATACATGAACGTCGTAATAAAAACTACAGGGTGTTCGGAATGAAAAGGACCGGATGTTCGTAAGCATGTTGAGATTCACGTTTGAGAGAATGTGAAGTGACACGCTTGTCTTACAGTCTAAGATGGTGGATAAAGGACGTCTTGGTGAACTCAAGCAGTCAAGATTGCTGTTCTGTCTACCATTGTAATTCTTGTGTTATTTAGTATCACTAATTCCTTACATGTTTGCGCTTACGAATATCAAATTTTTAAAAAGAAAAGAAAGAAATTTTATTCATAAATCTAGTGTGAATAAACATCATCATGTTATCTTCCTCTAACAGGAAAAAAATAAGTACAACAAACACTTTTAACAAAATACAAAATTGCAGTTGACTTTTTCTTATTTAATAGTATCAGTACAATATGTTTTTTTCTACAGAGAAAAAGAATAGATTGCAACTGGAGAAGTAGACAGACATAGAATAAAGTAGTATAATAAACAAAAAGAACAAATGTATCAAGACATAGATAAAGAACCAAAAAGAAGAACAAATAATTTTATTTGGATTTTTAAATTTAATGTTTATTTTTTCTACGTTTATTTCTTGCACAACCATTTGCATGTTTAACTGGTTTAACATCAGCTGATGTAGTAGGACTGAAAATAGAAAAAGACAAGAAATAATAGTAGTATCTTCATTCGAAATAAAACACATACACATGTAATATAGGTGTATTATCATCATTATCTTCACTTTCCGATGAATGTCCACGTTTTTTGGCACTAACGGTCTGTTTGTTATTCGATACTGTAACAATCACAACAGGTTTAGTTGATGATGTGGAGGACGACGAAGCAATAGCATTACGACCATTAGATTTAGTCCTAAGACGATTCAATATTGGAGTTGAACGTGAATAAGATGTAGGAGCAGGTTTTTTAGTCGTTGTTTTTGACAATTGTTGTTGTTTTTTAATTAATTTATTATTTGTTTTTTTTTTTGGTGGTGGAGATTGAGAACGTTCAACAGATGATGATTGTGAACGAGATGTACTTTTTTCATCAGCTGATGATGATAACGTTGTTGAGGATAACGACAAAACCTGTTTTTGTGCACGTGATTGACGGGTTGATGGTGATGGTGAAGAGGAAACTGTCGATGCTATTGCAGTTTCTTTTGAACATTTTTTTATTTGTGTTTGTTGTGCTCCTAACTTTGTTACATCATAATCTCCTTTAGAATTTTCTCTTGCTGCTGCAACATTATTATTTAATAAACGAGATATAAATTCACATCTTTCACGAGCAATCAAATATTTCGAATCTTGTCCAAATTGAAGATAATCAGCAAGTATTGGTAATGTTGCTTGTTGTTTCAAATAATTCAATCCATATTCAAGTAATAATTCAACTTCATCTTTATTTGTATAAATACGATAATAACCTAAAAATAAAAGAAGAAAAAAGAATATGGAAAGCATATTTAGCTTACTCATTCCAGCTTTCGCTCAATTCATAGTGAATTTCATATAATAAAATAATAAACAACAGACTTACCTAATTTTCTTCCTTTTGTAATTTTTGCATATAAATTAAATTCATCTAAATTTGGTTCTTTTACAAGATAATAACGACGTGATGAATCAATTTGTCGTCCATTAGGTTTTTTATATAATGTTCCATGATCAACACCATCTTGTATTGGCCTATTATTGACATTCTGTACAAATTTTATTAAATTTTCTAATAATGATTCAGATGCTACTCCTGGATAAACTTTTTGATAACAATCATCGTTCAATGCTCCTTGAACTAATTCATCTAAAAATGAAAGAAAAGAAAAAACAAACGTTGTTTTTTTTATTATACATCCTTCTATACTTCTTAGAACTTACCATAACTTTTATAATCTCCATCGCTTTTAAAATAAATATCCCAAAATGTTATTAATTCCATTTTACGATTAAACAACAAATAATATATATTCCAATAAACGATAATTTTAGTTCAAAGAACATATAAGAGAAGAGTAATAAGAGAACGAGATATTCCAAAGAATTGTTGATATATCTGAAATTGAAAAAAAAAGAAAGAGACAAATAGACCAATAAAGAAATACAAGTCAAAAATAAATATATATTCAATTATCATGATCATCACCGCTATCATATTTTCTTCTTCTTTTATTTTTCTTTAATTGTTTACGCCATTGGCCGTATTTAACACCGACTAATGAGGAAATTAATGTAAGACAACCATCAAGTTCAATTTCATTATCTTCAAATTGTTGATTAAATTCAATAATTTTTTGATTTATTTCAAGAACACCATTACGAACAGTTTTGTTAATAGACTTTTTTTTTCCATTTAACAGTTGAAAGTATTTCATTCGTACAGCAGTTTCTTCTGTAACCAAAAGTTCTATTAACGTCCAAATAGATAAATGACTTTGTTGTGCTCGTCGTTTTAGTACTGCATTATAACCTAAAGTAATAAAAAAAAAACATTTCTAACTATTGTTGTTCTTAAGTGGAACTTACTCTCAGACCAATTATTTGTTTTGAAAGCAACATCATAAAAACTAATCATTGTCCTATTTTCTAATTTCATCCATTGTTGATGAAAGTAAAACATAAATTTTTTTAATTGAACACGAAATTGTTTTAGTTGGTTCAATTTTAAGTATTGATTGACTAATAATTCATATGCATTATCAATTAATGGTGGTTTAAGTAACACAATAGCCATAACTTTTTTAATAAATAAATGCAATGCATCATTATTCTTATAATGAGACCATAAATCAAATTTCTTCATTTTTTTTGTTAATCTTTGATATAGATGAAATAAACAACCTTGATGAATTGTATTTGGAATCTGGAACAAAAAGAAAAAAATACAGAAATATATTCTCTGTAACTATCATTACACAAACAAACATTTACTTCTTTTTTTACAATTGAAACAATTCCACTTTCAAAATCACTTATTATTTTATCAGGTTCAAATTTCATATTCATTTGTTTTGCCGTATTTTTTAATGCTCGAAATAATAATGTGTAAGTGTAAACCTTTTTATCATTTAAAAGAGCATAGAGTACAGGTGTTGCTAGAAATAAACAGAAAAGAAAAACATATAAAGAAAAAAAATCATTCGACTGAGGTAAAGGAAGAACGAAACTTCTAGAAAGAAAACAAACAAATAAATAAACATTTTCTTACCATCATACATTTCTTGATCGATGGTTTGAATAATTAATAACTGTTTATGTTTTCTCGGACAAATTGAAAATGTTCCATCAATACAAATTAATTTTGAACTAAACAAAATTTTTAGCTGCATTGGACTCGCAAATGCTATGATTCTCTTGGTTTTTTTTGCATATAAATGATCAAAAAATATGAATTTTTCATTTGACGAAGTAGTTGCATATGCAGCTGGAATCACAAAGTTAATAGATTTTGGAAGTGGTGGAATTGTTTTACTTCTGGCATGATAGACACTTCTACCTAAATGAAAAAAAAGCTAAATTAAAATAAGATTAGAATAAATGACTGACTAACTCACGTAATGTATCTCGATGTGGAATCATACCCAATTGTGTATCAGTTAATTTCATATCAGTTGCTAATTGATTAATTAATTTTGATGAAGGTATAGTTCGATTATTTTTTCCAATAAATTTTAATTGTGATTTAAATATTGCAACTTTTTGTTGATCATGACCTTCATCATGTGAATGTGGAACATTATTTGATTCAACATATTTATAAGCTGGTATTTCATCAGTTCCTACATTTTCTGTTGTATAAATTTTTGTTCCACATCTTATCTTATTCCTACTCTGCTGACATTTCCATTTTATTTTGTTTCTCATTCGTCGATCAATTTGATATGTGCATCCGTGAAGACAAAGAAAATCACCACTTTTGCTACTTTTATAGACTGAAATAACTCCAGCTTGGGGAAGGCGCTTTGATTGTTGAGAGAAGGAGGTGCTAATCGAAGAGAAAAAATTATTACTATTATTGATTTCTAGCTTAGTCATATTTTCAATTATTGATGATATTGGTGTGGATTTAGGTGAATCAGAATCTGATGATGAAGATGATATAGTACTTGAATCAGATGAAGAACAAGAGGAATCAGTATAAGATGAAGCTGATGAAGAACGAGAAGAGCTGATAGAAGATGCAGATGAAGAATTAGATGATGAAGAACGTGTACGTGTAATTGTCTCGCAATCACTGAAAATATAGAAAAATAAACAAACAAATCATTTTGACTCTTTTCTATTGGAAAAGAGTGGGAAAAAGCATAGAAGAATACTTACGTAAATGATATAGTATTACTAACATTATTATTACGTAAGATTTTCTTAGATAATTTTGAACAAGAACGATGAATAGGATTAGGAGGTGAAGGTGATGGTGATCTTTTTGACGTTTTATTAACTGGACGACTACGAGTTGATGATTCTGGTTGTTTGCTTATTTTATATATAGATCTTAAAGCTGCTGCTGTTGATGCAGCAACTGAACTTTGACTACGAGTGATAACCATTAAGAATATTTGAAATTAAAGTAAATGTAGATTCAAACGAGGAAAAAGATTCTATTCACCTGAATTCTTATCTAGAAATAAGAAATAACAGCAAAGTACACTTTCTTCTTTATGATAGAATATTTTTGTAGTCTATAATCTTCACTTCTTTATGAGAACTTAGCCTGGTTTATCTTCAATACTGAATCACTTGTAAAGCCAATCATATCTGAACGAAAAGACTATTGAACCGTGGTCTCGTGATTCTAAGAAGAAATGCACTTTAACATACACACTACTTTGATTGGATAAATTTTTGGCAGAAAATTCTCCTGTTTTTTCTATTTATGAGTCTGAAGGTCTTTTTGGGTGAATCTCAATTACTCTCGTGAAAAATCAGAAAATTTGAAAACATGTGGCGCTACCTATAAAGAAAGCTCGAATTTTACTGAAAAACGGGCGAGATTCACCCAAAAAGAGCTTCAGAACCATAAATAGAAAAAAAAGGAGAATTTTCTATGAAAAATTTATCCAATCAAAGTGGTGTGTATATCAAAGTGCATTTTTCCTTAGAATCGCCAGACCACAGATCATATGGTACATACACTATAGTGTATCATTTGTACAGAAGCTACCGCCACCTACCAATTGTATGAATACATTAAAAGACGAAAATGTCTCCTGATATAATTATGAATGTGCTAAATAAATGAACCCTATTCTTGTATAGAAAAACAGAAATAAAAGTCTTTATATCCGTTACGATCTCCCAGTGAATCTTTTTTTACGAAGTTCCGGTCAATGTTATTCCGATTATCCGGTTGTTTTTTTTGTAAAATGCATTATTCCGAACATCTGACCTTATTCATCGCGATCTCCCGATGTTATATCAGATATACAAGAAAAACTGTATTCCTAACATCATGTAAAACCATTCCGATCTCCCTGTATTCTATTACGATCTCCTGGACACGACTCTTTACGAACTCCGGACATGAAAAAAAGTTAATTCCGAACATCCGGTCACATATCCGGATGTTCGGAAGAGGTGAGACGAAAGCTCACGCACCCTTCATAATCTTATAAGAAACAAAAATCAACTTTTCAATCGATAGTTCATATCCATTTCATAGTTACATTCTTTGATAACGAAAACATATTTTTGATAAATTTGATTGAAGATTAGGTTTTTTTCTCCTTGAGGAAAATACTAATAAGAGCCCAGGCGAGCAAAAATAAGGGGTGACGCCCGATATGACTAGTCTAAAGTGTCCGTAGTACCCGTCTGGACTAGTCTAAAATGTCTGCACTGCCCTTTGGACTAGTCTGAAATGATTTGCAGCAAGTCAGGACTAGTCGTCTTCACGAGGAACGTCTTGCATCTAAAATAGACTAGTCCAAAACATGCTCTAATCTTGTCATGACTAGTCCGTTTTGTATGTGCATACTGTCCAGACGCGTCAACTTGAAGGCAAAAACTGGAAGAAACGGAGGCGATAGGCGGATTCGAACATTCAAGCCGACGATATTGGATACCTGACTAGTCTGAACCGTTTTCAATGAGTAACGCGGACTAGTATGAAGAGTCATCTATATTGGTCATGACTAGTCGTTTTCGAGAAAGTAATGCTAATTCTGGTCTAGGCTAGTCTATCCTTCCAAACAGTCTTTATTGCTTGGACTTAATCATTCGGACAATTCGTTTTGACTAGTTTGCATTGGGACTAGAACGATGTATCTAATGAGAGTTGGCTATTTATGTCCTTTTAAATTTTTAAATTGTAATAACAATCAAGAATAATTTTATTCGAAAAATTAATTTTAATGCATTGATATGAGGATATTATTTTATTTCAATATAAAACGTAATGATTTGAATTTAAAAATGGATTTAAACGGTGGAATCATAGTTCATTTTCAAATTTAAATAGGAAATATTTTAAATTAGGATAAACATAAACCATGAGATGAAAAGCAAGATTTTTTTTTGAAATA